GTTTGTTTTTTTTTGTTTTTATTCTTCGATTGAACATGTCAAGTTGTAAATATTTATAAAATTCATCTACCATTGGGTTTCGACGAATCAGATAAGAATAGTTGTTCAGAAGACTTATGAAACATCCTTTTTTTATTTTTAGTAATAAAAAAACATTTATAAGCTCAATACTTATACGTATTGTGCTTCTCATTAGATTTATTGTCATTTAATAATTTATTATATACTACGATTTTTACGATAAGTAGGCATAGACTTGCACGTGTAGCTTAAGATACTGGGAGTAACTGCCAGTTTATAGCGCAAGTGCTAAGTTCTGTCATGAAAATATATATCCTTCTATATTATATAGTTCAATGTGTAGGATATTCCACATAACCTTCACTGCACCCCAGTACCCCTCTATTGCCCCTTATCGCCCCTCAACTGTCCCTCCACACGATTTTTCTTGGCCCCCCACCCCCACTGCCTCCCCACACGATTTTTCTACGGTTTCAATGCACCATCATCGTTGGTGTAGAATGGATAAAAAAGGATGGATAATAAACATGCCTGAACTAAACATATGTACTAAAAATAGTTTTGGTAACATTACAGGGGCTCTCTCTGTAATGAGCTAATTTAAATGTGAATATTGCCCATTTGTGTCTAGAAATACGAAAAAATTAAAAATTTATAAAAAAGAACGTAACAATAAATTTTTTTAATGTAGTGTATGCAATACAGTTGTAAAAAAACATAACTTACGCCACGTAAGAGAGCATACGTGCGGTAAAATTATACATTGACTTATCTGTAACCAAAAATGTAAAAGAGCAATACATTCATGACGTCATTTACATGTAAGTAACTCGGAGCACAATGAAATTAGTAAATATTGCGGAAGAAAATTTTCAAGAAAAAATGCATAAAAAAGGCAATACAATAAAGTTCATAAATGAGAAAATAAGAAATTTCAATAGCATGTTAGTAATTATCAACCATTGTAGTAATGTTTTCTGTATAATTATCTTACTTTGTTAAGAAAACACATTAAACTATTTTAAACGGAAGATTAAATGTCAATGTGTACCCATCAATATATTAAAATATTTGTATAAACTAGACAGAAAATAAGTAAAAAATAAAACTGATAAATAATATTTATTGTAAAAATATCTCAAAGACTATGCTAAGATTTTTTTTATTTAGTTAAACAATAGTGTTTCGTTTACTTCTATTATGAATCGTTCTTGATTTTTTACCATAGACCAACTGAAGCTGATTTTTTTATAACAACCATACTTAACTTATGTGAGGGATATGTATGACATCTTTGTTTTTATTATGATAACTTATTCAATTCGTGTTTATCAATTGAAAAACATTTTTTTATTTAAGACATTTGGTCTTCTACCTCAAAGCCTATGTGAAAGATTATAATACATTAAGGGGGTTGGCACGCGAAGCGCACAGGGGGCGGAGCCCAACTAGTATATATATGCATAAGAATTTTTGAAGATAATTTAAGTTAAGGTTTTTATATAGCTGGTGTGTGCCTAATTTTACATAGCCTAGCCAGTGTGAATTTCAACCTTTACTTTTTATCTTCGACTTTTAAGAATTTATCTTTTCGATTTTCGTGTTCCAACCGAAGCCAAATGGTTCTCAAATCAGAAGCCATGTCCCTATTACTGAGTAAGTGATCAATTTATAATACATCTAAGGTACTTTTACACTACACTGCACTGAAAGTTTTTTATACATATCTATACATTTATAGTGGTAAAAGAACATTGCAAAGCCAAAAGAAATGACAATCTTGCAGCAGTTGTGGAAAAAAAATAATCATGTTTGTAAATTTTAGATTTTTTATAATTTATCAAATTATTAAATTAGTTTCCAACTCGTATTAGTAAGTAAATATAGTTAGGTTCAAGAAACGGCTTAATTCGGAAAATTTTTTCAAGCAATACATGTCATTCTGAGTTTCTAGGCTTCAAGGGTAATCTTCTTTGAATATAAGCTCATTTCTAAATTATTATAAACATTTAACCATTTATTTTAATTTTAGGAGCAAGCATTCTTAGGTACTCTCTTTTATGTCAGTGAACGGTAAGATGTATTAGTAAATTTGCAATTGTATAGTTTTCGAAAGATTCATCATAAATCGGATTCTCTCAGACTATTTATAAGAATAGCATAAATAACAATAATTTTTTATGGGCAAACACAAAATTGATGCCAAAAAAAGGAGGATCCTTACAGAAAAATTTGTCATCTTACAATTCACAAAAAAATATTAGACTTTGCAAAATGTTATAAAATGAACTTTAAACTTTAAAAACCAATTATATTCCAAATAAACTGCATGGACCAATGTTTTTTTTATTTAAAAGGTAAGTGAGACATTTTTTAAAATTACGAATTAAAAATTTTTGTTAAATAATTTCCTACAAAAAAAATTATAACGGCAAGTGTAAATGCTGAATATTGCTGTCAGTGTACTATTATAGCAAAAACAAATAATCCAACTGTTTATTTTCTCGTTTTAATATAAAAAACTAAAAAAAAAAAAAGGAATAAGACATTATCTACCTTTGACCAAGAAAGGAAAAAATTTATATTAATGATTTTCATATGATGTCTTAGTTTAA